TTAGCATTGCGCTGTTGCTTCTTCTTCGTATTACCGATATAAATACGATTACTAAGATGGATACTATCAGTATGCGTAGTATTGTTACCAATATTAGCGTTACTACTAATACGATGACTCTTGGTCATCGTAGTAGTAATAATAAGTTTGTTCCTCCTTCTCCTCCTCCTTCTCCCCTTCCTCCTCGTCCTCCTCTTCCTCCTCTTCCTCCTCCCCCTCCCCCTCCCCCTCCTCCTCCGCCTCATTTTTCCGTTTCCTCCTCCTCCTCCTCCTTTTCATCATCCTCTTCCTTCTCCCTCCACCGCCCGCCCCATGTCCCGAACCCGTGGCAGGGTCATCAGCTCGTCGTTGTCGCTGTCATCGTGGTCGTCGTCGCCGTCCTTCTGTGTCGGCGGCACCGGCCGTAAGGCCTTCACACTAGACGTGGTGCACACACGCACACACGCACAAACGCTCACGCAAGTCATCTGAACCACACGGAAGCCCCAAAGCCACTGGTTGGCCTTCTAAACGGCTCAGGAAAGCTTCAAGATGGCGCACAGTCACCCCAAGACGGCCCAGAAAACTGCACGAACCGCCCCCAAAGGACGCCAACACAGCCACAAGAAGCCCTAGACGCGTGTCCAGTGGGGGGAGCTTTGCGTGATAGCTGGCCAGGGGGGGGGGGCTCCCGCCCTGCGGGCTCCATATTGAACCACTGAAATGTGTCAGCTCGACGGGAATCAGCCGAGCCCCGGCCAGGCACGGGGCTATTACGCACCAGGCGTTGGACAGAAGTGATTGAGAAACACTGGCCAAGCAGCTAACGGGCACTGAAGAGCGCCACTTGAGCACTAGGCAGGCAATAGACGACTGCTTCTAGGAGCACCACCGCCAGCGTCCAACCGACACTCGGAGAGGAGGAGAAGAGTTGCACTACTGCTGCATAGTGTAGGAAACAACCGATGCGCGATGCCTGAACGAGAGCAGTATCAGACAGGCGAGACAAGAATTCAGGGCCACTGTCTTCGACTGCCACCCTACATGCGCGACGATGGCGCTGCCTTGCTCCGCGCCCGTACCTCGTCGCTCATCGCTCAGCGGTCATCGCTCATCCCTGGTCCTCCTCCTCATCCTCCTGCTTTGTTCGCAACGCTGCGGTCTGCCTGGCGAGCGGCTCGGGAAGAGAAGCGTGGCGGCGCCGGGAGGTCCGCTGTGTGGCCAGCGAGCGGCGGCAGCAGGCAGCCGCGCTCGGCGGCAGTTCGCTCGGCCGAGAGGAATGAACGACAAGAGAGAGAGAGAAAGAGAGAGAGAGAGAGAGGAACAAACAAAAAACATTAGTCTGGCGAAAGACCCAACCATATGCAGTTGTGAGCACCGTCGTTGTATGCACCGCATCCGGAGGAGCTCCCCACAGGGCCACGAAACGTATGAGGGGTGTGCCGAAGTTTGTCCGGGGGGCGCATGCGAACGCAGCCATTGGGGCCGTCGGTGAAATTCCCCATGGGGCCACGAAGCGTGTGAGAGTTGTACCGAAATAAGTGCGGTGGGCGCATGCGAACGCAGCCATTGGGGCTGTCGGTGCCGGAAACGTGTGATGAGTGTGCCGAAATGTGTGTGCGTTAGGCACATGCGAACGCAGCCTCTGGCGCCTTCGGTGAAGCTCCCTATGGGGCCACGAAGGCACCCCCACCCCATGGACCATCTGTTCTTGGAACCCCCCACCCCACCATTTCTCGCCCCAAACCGACCGACACCCCCCACCACGCCCCCCAACCACGCCCCGGCACCCCCACCCCATGGAGCATTTGTTCTGGGGACCCCCCGCCCCACCACTTCTCGCCCAAAACTGATCGACACCCCCCACCACGCCCCCACCACGCCCCGGCACCCCCACCCCATGGAGCATCTGTTCTTGGGACCCCCCAGCCCACCATTTCTCGCCCAAAACCGACCGACACTCCCCACCACGCCTCCACCACGCCCCAGCACCCCCACCCCATGGAGCATTTGTTCTTGGGACCACCCACCCCACCATTTCGCGCCCAAAACCGACCGACCCCCCCCACCACGCCCCTACCACGCCCCGGCACCCGCACCACACGGAGCATCCCACCCCACCATTTCGCGCCCAAAACCGACCGACCCCCCCCACCACGCCCCTACCACGCCCCGGCACCCGCACCACACGGAGCATCTGTTCTCCCCCCCTCGCCCAAAACCGACCGATACGCGCCCCCCACCACGCCCCCGCACTCTCACCCCATGGAGCCTCTGTTCTTGGGACCCCCCACCCCACCATTTCTCGCCCAAAACCGACCGATACCCCCCACCGCGCCCCCCACCACGCCCCGGCACTCCCACCCCATGGAGCCTCTGTTTCTTGGGACCCCCCACCCCACCATTTCTCGCCCAAAACCGACCGATCCCCCACCACCCCCCACCACGCCCCGGCACTCCCACCCCATGGAGCCTCTGTTCTTGGGACCCCCCACCCCACCATTTCTCGCCCAAAACCGACCGATACCCCACACCGCGCCCCCCACCACGCCCCGGCACTCCCACCCCATGGAGCCTCTGTTCTTGGGACCCCCGACCCCCGCAATTTCTCGCCCAAAACCTACCGATACGCCCCACCGCGCCCCCCGCCACGCCCCGGCACTCTCACCCCATGGAGCCTCTGTTCTTGGGACCCCCCACCCCACCATTTCTTACCCAAAACCGACCGACACTCCACACACACGTCCCCACCACGCCCGACATCCCCACCCTCTGGAGCCTCTAGTTTTGGGACCTCCCACCCCACTAGATTTCTCGCCCAAAACCGACCGATACCCCCCACCGCGCCCCCCACAACGCCCGGCATTCCCACCCCATGGAGCCTCTGTTCTTGGGGCCCCCCACCCCACCATTTCTCGCCCAAAACCGACCGATACCCCCCACCGCGCCCCCCACCACGCCCCGGCACTCCTGCCCCATGGAGCCTCTGTTCTTGGGCCTCTGACCGATACCCCCCACCGCGCCCCCCACCACGCCCCGGCACTCCCACCCCATGGAGCCTCTGTTCTTGGGACCCCCCACCCCACCATTTCTCGCCCAAAACCGACCGATACCCCCCACCGCGCCCCCCACCACGCTCCGGCACTCCCACCCCGTGAAGCCTCTGTTCTTGGGACCCCCCACCCCGCCATTTCTCGCCCAAAACCGACCGACAGTCCCCCCACCACGCCCCCCAACCAATCCCCGGCACCCCACACCATGGAGCACTGTTCTTGGGACCCACCCCACCATTTCTCCGCCCAAAACCAAAAGAAAGAAAAACCCCCCCCCGAAAAAACAACCCCCCCCCCAACGCCCCCACCACGCCCCAGCAACCCCACCTACCCCATGGAGCATCTGTTCTTGGACCCCCCACCCCCCCATTTCTCGCCCCAAACCGAACGACACCCCCCACGCACGTCACTGGCACCAAACACCACCCCAATGGAGCCTCTGTTCTTGGGACCCCCACCCCACCATTTCTCGCCCAAAACGACCGACACCCCCCCACGCCCCAACCACGCCCCGGCACTCCCACCCCATGGAGAAACTGTTCTTGGGACCCCCCACCCCACCCATTTCTCGCCCAAAACCGTCGGACGCCCCCCACACGCCCCCACACGCCCGGGCACCCCCACCCCATCGAGCTAGCGATCTGTTCTTGGAACCACCACCCCACCATTTTCGCCCAAAACCGACGACCCTCACCGCCCCCACCACGCCCCGGCACCCCACCCCATGGAGATTCTGTTCTTGGGACCCCCCACCCCACCATTTCTCCCCCAAAACCGACCGAACCCCCAGCCCCCACCACGCCCCGGCACCCCACCCCATGGAGCTCTGTTCTTGGGACCCCCACCCCACCATTTTCGCCCAAAACCGAACGACGCCCCCCCCACGCCCCACCACGCCCCGGCACCCCCACCCCATGGACCATATGTTCTTGGAACCCCCCACCCCACCATTTGTCGCCCAAAACCGACCGACACCCCCCAACGCGCCCCCACCGTGCCCTGGCCCCCCCACCCCATGGAGCATCTGTTCTTGGGACCCCTCATCCCACCATTTCTCGCCCAAAACCGACCGACACCCCCCAGAGAGAAGAGAGAGAGAGAGAGAGAGGAAAAACACACGCACACACAAAAGCACGCCACACACACACACACACACACACACACACACACACACACACAACACACACAACACAACACACACACAACACACACAACACACACAACACACACAACACACACAACACACACACACAACACACACAACACACACAACACACACAACACACACAACACACACAACACACACAACACACAACACACAACACACAACACACAACACACAACACACAACACACAACACACAACACACAACACAACACACACACACACACTCACGCGCATTCGACCCGGGCTCCCGCTCGTTCCGTATCGCGTTCCAGCTGCAGCGCTGCCCTCGGCTACAATTACTCCATATGAACACTACCCCCCTCTCTCCACCAATGTTGCGGGAAAAGCTCGCAGCGACACCTGAAAACTAAGAAAACACAAGGCTTCATTTGGGGTCGGCGGCAGAGGCGGCAGCCTTAAGATAACAGCAATTACAACCGCAACAACGATAAGTCCAAGACTCTTCGCTATTATCTGTTCGCGTGCCAGCCAACACGTATATCCCAAACCCTCGGCACCCGCCTTCTTCGTCTTCGATCGGTCCCATAATGGTGTATATTTCTTACATGCACCGCGTATGTCGCGCGGTGTCGCCCAGCCTGCAGCTGCCGTCTGAGAGGGCCGGCCAGCGCCTCTGTTTTAGCCAATTCGCCTCGCCCGTGGCCCGGACGTTGCCTTCGCCGCCTGATGGTTGTCTCGCGGCCGCGACCAAAGAGTATGTCGTGCGGTACTACTGCAGGGGAATAGAAGGCGGATGGAAGGAAGGGACAAGGAGCAGGCGGGTTGCTGAAGCGTGCGTCTTTCATGAATCGCGAGGAAACCTCGAACGATAACGCGATTCCCACATGAATCGTAAGGAAACCCACAGCGAGAACGTGATTCCTGAGTGTCGAGGGCGCAGCGTCTGAATAAATTGCGAGAAGTCCCACGCGAGAGCGCGAGTCCTGTATGAATTGTCAGGAAATCCCGCGCGAGAGGAACACATTGTGAGGAAGTATCAGGCGGGAGCCATTGCTGTTGTAGCTCGGGACCCATCAGCGCAGATTGGTGGCCCCTCACCCCCTTGTAAGAAACGGGGTGCGAGCCCCGGGAGAAACATGATCATTGAAAAATGCAATGATTACCGGAGGGGGGGGGGCAACAACAGCAATGGCTCTTTAGAACTGAGAATTCATCAACAACAACAACAATCATTTGAAGACTGTTCGCCCTCATCTGCTCGAGTATCCAATAACGCGTATTTCCCAAACCCTCGATACCCGCCCTTTTCGTCTTCGATCGAAACCCCTTTTGGGGGGTATACTTTTCTTCCCTGCTGGCCAGGCCCCGGCAGGCGGCGGGGCGGCCGCGGACCGTCGGCCTGGCCAGCGGCAGCGCTGATCGGCGGGGCGGCCGCGGACCGTCGACCCGACCCCAAGAGGGACGGACAGGGGACCGATCACAACGACGACGACGACGATGTCGACGACGACGGCGACGACGACGACGACGGCGAAGCCGACGACGAGCGAAAGCGAGAGCGAGAGAGAACGACAGCAGGGCCACGAAGGACACGAAGTAGGCCATGAAGGGCGACAGCAGGGACACGAAGGGAATGCATATGGGGCCACGAAAAGCGCGAACGAGCGGGGCCACGAAGGGCAGATAATGCGGGGCCACAGAAGGCAACGATGGGGCCACTGAAGGTAGCGACTGGGCCACGTAGGACAGTGAAGGGACCAAAAACGGCGACAGCGGAACCACGAAGGGCATGCACATGGGGCCACAACGGGCGCGAACGAGCGGGGGCCACGGAGGGCATAGATTGGGCCGCGGAGGGCAAGGACGGGGCAACTGAGGGCAGCAAAGGGGCCACGAAGGGCAGCGACGGGGCCACGAAGGGCGACAGCGGGGCCACGGGCGCGAACGAGCGGGGGCCACGAAGGGCATGCGTATTTGGGGCAACGAAGAGCAGCGAGGGGGGGCACGAAGGGCAGCGAGGGAGCCACGAAGGGCTGCAACGGGGCAACGAAACAAAGCGAGGAGGCCACGAAGGGCTGCGAGGGGGCCACGAAGGGCAGCAAGGGGCCACGAAGGGCTGCAACGGGGCCAAGAAACAAAACGAGGGGGCCACGAAGGGCTG